AAAAAGAAAGGCAGAAGGCTAAGTGTAGCCCTTGGGCCCTTGAGTGGGAAAAAGAGCCTGCCTGGGCTTGCTGTGAGCTCAACCAGAACCCCTTGCTTTGCAGGCAGAAAGGGCTGCAATTGGAGGAGTTGCAACCATGGTATTCGGACTTCTGGGTGCCATTGGAGTCGCTGCTATAAGTAGGATACAGCAAAACCAGGGACAGCCTGAAGCAGCCACAATATCCTGTGTTAGTAGCAGCTGTGGACACCCCAGAGGGGACAGGCCTCCCGGCTCCTTGTCTTCCTGACCCTCGCTCTCTGTCTCAGGCTGTCTCTAGTCCTTCCCTCTCTCCCCATCCCTGTCTCAATGGCTGAGGATGGTTTCATTGTAACAAGATCCAAGAGTCAGTAAATGTACCTACCTGTTCCTCCAGAAAGGACGTCCACTATGTTTTTGGAGACTTCATAGAAAGCAAGAAAGAAAGTAACGTTGATTGAACACCTGTTGGTAGTTCCAGCAATTTCTAGCCATGTGGCCTTGGGGAAAGCGCGTGACTCTCGGAGTCTCCATTGCATCCTCTCTGAGATGGGGGAAATGATGCGTGTCAGGGGATGGAGGGAGGATCCCATGAGATGATGGACAGAAGGTGCCCAGCCCATGTCTGACATGCAGCAGACGCTCAGTGAATTGTCCACGTCATTCCACAAAGACCTAACATAGAAACAATTGTGCATCAATACTTTTATCTGTGCATCTCGGGAGGTAAAAAAAATTCTGTTTATATTAATGAATTAATTTGACTCTCGAGTGGAGGAAAAAATGTAATTCCCTCCCAGTAGAGTGCGACTAACTCCCCTTATGACACCTAAACATCTCCCAGCATCCTTCCAATTACCTCCTTCACTTAGTCCCCCGTTAAAAAAGTTTTTTTTTCTTTTTTAACTCGAAGATCTACTCCTCACCCCCCTGTGACTATCAGATGGAGTTATATTATCTTTCCACGCCCAGACTTCCCCGGCTCGTGCTGCCCCTGGGTTGAGTGCTGAGAACCAGCCACGTCAGAATATGTCCTGCTGCTTCCATCGTGCCTCTGCCCTTGCTTGGCCTCACCAATGCCCAGGTCCCCATCTTTTCATGCTTCCTCACCCCAGCCTCTGCCTACTGAATGGCCACTCCATCTGACTATCCTCCAGGGTGGTCACCACACCCACCACCACTGTGGCTTTAGGACTGGAGACATCACCCTCCCCTGGGCTATGCTTTCCCACACAGGAGACAGCTGCTTTGCGCGACTCCTGCAGCACAGCACAGAACAGGCTGTAATGATGAACAAGACTCCCCTAGAAGCTCAGGGCTACTGGAAGCTTCAAGTGCAAAGTGAACAACTTCTAATTACTACAATAAGGGGACTTTGCTCAGAATCCCAGGCTGAAATGCCAGGCTCCACTTGGGATTTCTAGAAGCATCCATACCTGCCTTGCTCCAGGGCTACCTCCAGATTAGAAGCCTGGCTGCTCTGTCCAGAGTCCAGTCCCAATAACCAGACGTGGAAAGGAAGGAAGAGGCTTTCTCCATTCTTGCAGTCTGAGGCTCACCTCCCCAGCCTTCATTACCTGCCCAGGGTCAACTGTCCCACAGTGAGGGACAGTGGGATGATCCAGGCCCCTCCAGGGTGAACTGGCCTCCACACTCAGGTCAAATCCCCCTGTCGGGCATCTCAGGTGTCCATGTACCTGCCCTTCCCACTGATTCTCACAGTTTCAATTGTGGTTATTTTACCAATGTGCCTCTCCCTACCACAAATGCGGGAACAGTTTTAGTTTTGGGACTATTGTGACCCTAGAATCCAGCACTGCGGGAGGCAGCAAGCAGTCAGGAAATGTGGGAGGTGGGAGGACTTGAAGACAACGCACACCCACAGGTTTCATGGAATCTCCTGCATTCTACCAGCAGGAGGGTCAGTCCAGGTTTCAGAGCTTTGAGGAAGGCAAGAAAGGCTGGGGCTCTGTGCCCACCCTCAGGAGGGGCTGGTCCAGGGCGGAGGCAGGAGGCCAGGGTATGGGGTCCCTGTCCCTGAAGGCCGACATTGGAACCATGAGACTGTCACCCTCCCTGTTTGCTTTGCTCTCTGGGCAGCTCCAGGCAGCCTCTTTCCTTGAGACTTTTCCAGAAGACAGCATGCTCAGTCCCCATGTATATTCCCCTGCTGCCTGAAAAACAAGAGACAGAGGCTAAGTTCCCTGAAGAACTCCCCAGGTGTGGGCAGCTTTCCAATCATGAAAACCTACCCCAGGGGCAGTCAGCTGGCATTGTGCCTGAAAGACGTGTCTACTGTAACCTATCTTTATATCCGATCACCGGATGTTTTTCTAATTAGCATACCGCATGTGGGAAATGATTTTTCCTTGGTAAAAATAAAGACTTGATCACCACCATAATCTGAGTCTAGAAATGATCTCTCACTGGTGTAATCAGTACTATTAATGAGACGTGGATTGGCTAAATATTTTAGAGACCTTTCCCACTCCCGCAGGGACACAATATGAGAGAGGCCTGGAGCCTTTGTCTTTAGGAGCGGCTCCTGGATGCACCTGGCGTGGCCAGCCTCTGCACTGGGTTTGCAGTTGCCTAATGGTAACGTTGGAGCAAAGGAATCCTGTCTTGATGTACCTTTCATGCAAGGTGTGGTCACAGCATCTAAAAGGACAGAGGACTGTGTCATTCAGCTTTCAGAACAGGATAAATGAACGGCTCTGCGCCCCTTTGGTGAGGCAGATGAACAAATGCCTCTGTGTATGGTGAAATTTGCTCTGACATTTGTTTTCCATGTAATTTGAGAGAAAGATTTGAAGTTGTAGGATTGAACTCATTCAAACTTGTCAGTCAGGGCTCACTTTGGCAACGTGTATACTAAAACTGGAATGACACAGAGAAGATTAGCCCGGCCCCTATGCAAACCTGTCAGTCATTATTTACCAGACAGAAACCCGTCGATGTGTATGACCCTGTGATAGCTCAGCTTGACGTGCCACGGTGGGTGACGGGCTGTGTCCCACAGAACGGGTCCTACAACCACAGTGGGCCCCTCACTCCTTCACACCACAGGCCCTCAGCATGGAGGGGGGTCTGGCCAGGAAACGGGTGAGGTTAAAGAAACAGAGCTCTCTTGCTTCTGTCTCTCCACTCTTGATGCCTTCTAATGAAATGAGCATTGCTGACATGAAAAAATAAATCAAACATCTGGACTCAAAGATTTTATTTTACGAGTAGCAGTGGTAGACTGGGGAATCAGATCTAAGGACAGTCATGAGCACACGCCTTTAATTCCAGGCACCAAACCTCCCCTGAGACTAGACCCAGGGTCTCCATGGTTCTTGAGGGGCCAAAGGTCGGAGCCGGGTCCTGCCCATCCCCAGCTGCCCCTGTACAGGGGTGTCAGTCATGGACCTTGGCAACCCTCCAAGGGAAACTGCCTGGGCAGTTGAGTTGGAATCGTGTCACTGGCCCCATCAAGCAGAGCTGATTGGCCAGTGGAGCCATGTGATCCAAGGGCAGCCAATGGGTAGGCTGAGCTGTGATGAGCTCAGTCAATCAGATTCTCTGTTGGGAACTAGGCTGGGAACACAGAGCATCAGCTGGGACAGATGAATCTGACCTGATATGGGAAGGGAAGCCAGGAGGGCATGGAGGAGAGACTCGGTGGTCATGGCAAGCAGAAGGGGTGAGGAAGCAGGAACGCTGAGGAGGAGGAAGGACATGGCAGAGGAAAGACATGCCAAGGAGGGGGAAAGAATGACACTAATCAGTGTTGAAATCAAGGGCGGCAGGGAGCCCTGGGGCCCGAGTCACGTCCATGGCCAAGAATCCACACACAATTCCAGCCCTGGCAGGCCAGTGGGTTCTGTTCTCATCCATCAGTCCCATCTGTGTCCCCTCTGCCCCTTGTGTATCCTCACACCATGAAAAGAACACAGCCCTCCAAGGGGAAACAGAGAGAAGCAGTGGACGGCCAGGACCCACGTCCCCGTCACAGGGCAGGAGCCTGCATTAGTCAGCTCAGGCTCCTACAGCAACGTGCCACAGCCTGGGTGGCTTAAACAACAGACATTTATTTCTCACAGTCGTGTAGGCCACACGTTCAAGATCAAGGGGCCAACAGATTTGGTGTCTGGCGACAGCATTCTTCCTGGCTTGCAGATTAACCACCTTCTCACTAGTCCTCACATGGCAGAGCGAGCTCTGGTCTCTCTTCCTCTTCCTAAAAGGACACTAATCCCATCATAGGAGCCATACCCTCATGATCTCCCCTACACCGAATTACATCATTTCAAACTAAATAACAGACAAAGAGAGATTCTTCAAAGATAATAAGTTTATTCTTACGTAAAGTGGGCATTGCAATGTGGAATACGGTGCCTTCGTAAACTATGGGCACATTAAGGGAGACAAAGGAAGATGGAGTTTTTAAAGGAGAAAACAATGAAGGCTGCATAAGTTGTTTTGAAACAATTGTGCTTAACTACAAGGATCAGTAACAAGTGTGGCATCAGCCCAAAGTTAGACAAGCAGCTGCTGGGCAGATGTCCTAGCAGAAGTGTTATTTGTGGGAGGTGGTAATGGCTTTTGTGCTAGGTGGTGGTTTGGCAGAGTCTTGTGTGATACTTCTTGGTACCAGGCATGCGTGCATGAGAATTCTTTCTTCGTGCCCTTCCCCAGCTCCATGTCATTAGGATTTGACATAAGTTACCCCATTTTGACTCTGACAACTTTCACATTCCCAGTGGCTCTACCGCCAAATACCATGACACTGGGGGTTGGAGCTTCAGCATATGAACTTGAGGTGGGAAGGGAACACACACATTCAGTCTGAACAGAGCCCAACTGTGTCTTTGACAGAGTTCATGCTAAGTGACATTTCTCTAAAATAACATGTTCTTAAGCTTTTATTTACCTCCGCTAAAATAAGCATTCATAATCACAGCGTGAAATCAGTAAATCAATCCCCATCCTGACTGGCTAAGCAAGATTTCCCCATCCTGAGTGGCTGCTGTCAGGACGATTCCTGGGATTTATTGCTCTTCCTCTAGCTGCCCAGCATAATCCCAATGAAGCCAGCAATCCCGATGATGTCACCAAAAACCAGACTAGCCACAACTGCAGCCACAAACACATAAGTGACCTGTGACAGAAGAGAAAAAGGATCACACTCAGCACCAAGGGCCAGACCCTGAATACATACACCAGGAACCTGCAGCTCAGGAAAGATCCATCTGGACTTGTCCCCTTTTCCCGAATCACAGAAGGAACAAATACTGGCAGGGACGGAGGATGTCAAGTGGTCAGGCCCAGTCAGGAAAGGAGAGGAGGTGCCTGGTGGGGAAAGAATGAATGCAAGAAGCAGCCCTCGGTGTGAAACACAGACTCAAAGCAGGGAGACTCCACACACCCAGTGGGCGTTTAAAGCCAAATAAACCTGCAGGGGGTGGCTGTGGAAAGGACAGAGGGACAGTGCCCCGATGGTCTAGGTCAGGGCTGGCCGACTAGAAGCCTTGAAGCGGGTGTGACATGGGAGAAAACACCCAAGGAACTCTCAGTATCAGGGCTTGAGGGCAGGGACCTGCCTGCAGTGTTCTTGGTACCCAGCGCTCGGCACATGACCAGGCACAGAGTAGGTGCTCAGGATTCCTCTGCTGACAAAGGCTGGACTGTGCTTAGCACTGAGGATGTGCTCCCATGAAATAAGACTGCCTCGCATGCGCTGATAGGAAGGGGCTTCTGCAAAAGGAAGCGGATACTATGAAAAAATGGTGGAGATGGGAGGGTGACCCTGAGGGTTGGGTGACAGTGCAGCTGGTGTGAACCGGAGAGACAGCTGCTGGGACTGCCCACTCTGATCCTGTGGGTCGCCTCTGCCCTCGTCACTGTGTCTAAGAGACCAGCACAGGTGGAACTGGAGGTGGAGGGGACCAAAAAGAACACAAGAACGGCTGCTTTCCAGTTGTCAGCACTGGGCTGGGTACATCACGGGCTCTGGATTCTTCTTAATCTGCCTGTTAATTGTTATTATTACAACTCTGTGAAGTAGGCATTCTTATTCCCACTTTCCCGAGGGGAAAACTGAGGATAGACAGTGTAAGGAACTCAGGAAAAGCCACACGGGGGAGAGGGACGAGGCTCAGACCCGCCTGACTTCCCACCAGGTGCCTTTAAGGTCGTCACCACCAAGGATGCAGGTATTGCAAACAGCGACCAAAGAGCAGATTTCCGTGGAATATCAATGAATTTGAACGATGAGAGTGGCTGGAGACCAGAGGGGGGAAAACACTTTGTTTCTTTTATTCAAAGACACTCAGAAACGTTTCCAGTGTCAAAGATGAACAAAGGTGGACATGAGTTAAAGCAGTGAGAACAGACCATCCAGCGATGGCTGCTGAACAGGGAAAGAGCTGAGCTCCACTCTGATTCGTGCAGAGGTGACTGGGTGTTTTGTTTTTTGTTTAGTTTTGGTTTAATTTTTATGTTTATTTATTTATTTTATTAATACTATTTTGTACATCCAATGATGTTGTTGCAGAACAGCCAGGAGGGACGGAGAGAGGGAAAAGGGGAGGGAAATGTGGTGGAGGAAGAAGGAGGGGCAGAACTGAGGTCTGTGGCACCCACCCCCCTCATTCCCACAGGGCAGACTGGGGGGCTTGGTCATTGCTGGGCTGGGTGCAAATGTCAGGGGGGTGTGGCAAAAGCCCCCACTTCCCACCACCCCAACTCTGGAACCCAGGGCACTTCTTTCTGTGGCTCGGTGGTCATCACTGGGCCGACTGTACGTGTAGGGTGGCATGGCCAAGACCCTCGGCCCCTCACTGCCCCAGCTCAGGACAGCACAGGGCACTTCCTGCAGCAGCTTTTTGTTTGTCACTGGGCTGGTTGCTGTTTGTCGTGTTTGGTGGGGGTGACCAAGGCCTGAGGCTCCCAACCTCAGGACTGGTTGCAGGTGTCACAGGTCATGGCTGAGGCCCCCAGCACTCCCCCCTTTCTGGCTTGGGAGCCCAGGCGACTTCAGGTCCTTCTAGGTGTTATAGGTGTTCTTAGGGGAAATGAGATCTTTACTAGTTAATATCAAACTTTGTCTCTGGTTGTGGATATGTTGTTTTTCCTTTCAGTTCTGTGTTGTATTATTTGCTGTTCCCACAACTTAAACTCTGCACTGTAACTAATTTGTTGTCCTTTGCTTACTTCCAAAGTGGGGGAACTTCCTGTGGGGACCAGTACTTGAGCTCCGTGGTTGGGCTAAGTTGCTGCTTTGCTGCTGATTCCCTTGGGAAGGCTTTTTGTGCAGCTCAGGTTTCAGTGGTTGACTTTATAGGTACTCCTGGGTTTAGTGAAATGCAGTGCACCTGGGTTGTGTAGAAACACTGGTCTGGGCCTGATTCTTTTCATCAAACTGCACCCCATGCAATTCTATATTCCTGACCAGTCTCCTCTGAGGGGTCCTACACTGATTGGGGGACAGATCAGCTGTCCTTGCTGTGCCCCAGTGTTCCCCCGATGGACCTGTCTCCCCCACCACCTCTGCTGCAAACACTTCCCACGGGACAGGCCGTGCTTTCCAGTCCCTTGCAATCTCTCACTAGCCTCTGAGTGGCTCCTTTTTTTCAATTGTTGTGGCTCCTCGGTCTTATGTGGGTCCACAGGAACCCTATTAGTGGGATTGCTGGCCTGGCGGACACCAAAGCCCTCTTCTCCCCTGCCCCCTCCAAGCAACTTCATCCAAAGAGCACAGCTGCAGCTTTTTGCAAGCTCCTGCTCTGTGCACTCAGCAGCTCCAGCCTGGAAGTGGCTGGGATTCAAAATGGTTGGAAAACATTTAGAAAGATTTTTTTCTTTCTTTCATCGGGCTTCTCCCGCCTTCGTGAACTCTATAGGTCTCTCCTCCTCTTCCCCTGAACTCTAGCAGCCCCAGCTTGGCTGTTGTTGCTTTTTAATAGTAGTAAATTAGTTGATTTATGGGAGAGAGTGATGCTGGGGACTGTCTATTCCACCATCTTGACCAGAAGTCCCATGACTGGGTGTTTTAAAGGGAGATGATGGGGTGGGGAGGGGTTGTGGCAGGGGCTCAGCAGAGGCAGGGAGGTGAAAAAGGACCAAAGCTGGTCAGGGGCATCTCGGTGAGGCCAGCTGTGCCTGGGGCTGGCAGTGATGAGACTTAGGATTCTGTCCTCACACAGAGATTAGGACACAGAGGCCTGTCCTTCCCATGATGATATGTCAAAGGAATTACTTTCAGGTCCTCGAGGAAGACATTTCTGAGCTGTAAGAGATATACATATGCATCTCCAAGGGACAGAGGAAGGATTCACAAATGTAAGACCTTTTTAGGAAGTGCTTGGGAAGGTCAGGGTCTATGGTCAGGTGTGGCGACAACAAACGGTAATTCTCCTGGCAGCACAGAGCTTTCTCCGGCAGGCACTTTAATGGGGGGCTGGGCTCGTCCCAGGGACACAGGCTTGTGCTGCTACAAGCCATGGGAGAGTCCATCAGGGCAGGGTTTGGATGGAGTCGTTATGTGCGGAGAATTCTGCAGTTCTCACAAGCCCACTTTCTTGAAGAGAGAGAAGAGAGACGAGCTGAGACTGACAGAGAAGGTCTTTCTAGACAGACAGAGGCAGCAGAGAGGAAGGGTGAGAGGGAGAGAGAAAGGCAGGTGGATGCATCACCTGCGGAGGAGAAGAGGCTCAAACAGGAGGCCCCAGGGCAAGGGACAAACTCAATATGATTCTCACAAGCCCACTTTCTTGAAGTGAGAGAATAAGAGAGATGAGTTGGGACTGACAGAGAAGGTCTTTCTAGACAGACAGAGGCAGCAGAGAGGAAGGGTGAGAGGGAGAGAGAAAGGCAGGTGGATGCATCACCTGCAGAGGAGAAGAGGCTCCAAAAGGAGGCCCCAGGGCAAGGGACGAACTCAATATGAGAACGGCCTCCCCCAGCCCCTGCTCACTTGAGTCCTGACTGCCCAGAAGCACTGCAGATGCCAACCACCCGCTAACATCGGGCTCTGCCAGACTGATCGTTGGGATCCTGCACAGCCTTTGGAAGTGCTGCTAGATGCACGATAAGGTGGCCCGGCCCACCCCCCAGCAAGCCACCCTCCTGTCCAGAGGCAGGTCTGCCCTCCCCAGCTCAATGGAGGGAGACCCCATCAGCAGAGTCATTGCTGGGCACCAAGGAGCACTTCCCACTGTGTCCTGGGGCCACAGCAGCGTGGGCTCCATCCTGGGGGAGCTCACTTCCAGAAGGTGTGGATTCTCCTTGCCCACCCCTCTTTTTACCCCCTCCCCTTCCCCTACTTCATGAAAGAAGAGCTGAATCCTCCCCCATCCTGAATCTATGTGCAGGGGCTAATGTGTGAACACCGCTGGACACCCCCCAGCAGGGATTCGAGAATGCATTGTTCCTGACAGCGAGGGCTCCAGGAAGGAACACGCAAGCCTGTGGAGGGAGGCGCCCTGCCTCACACGTGCCACCGCAGCGCTAGAATTCTAAAGTGACACGACCGTGTCCTGGAAATGTGCACTAACACGCTTATTTGAATTGAAAAATTGTCCTTTTTTTTCCCTAAAAGAAATTGAGTCTGATTTGGCTAATTGGTTTGATATAAGGCCTGGCTTGGCTGTTTAAATTACACAGAAACATTTTTCACTGATTGGATGAGCTAAATGTGCAATCCCAAGGCGTGAAGAAAATATGCACATAAAGCACGTATGCAATATGCCGAAAGTTCCATCCTGTGCAAATTTTTTACATTTAGGATTTCTTAAATGTTTGCTGTCACGCAAAAATGTGTGCGGTGTTATGTGTTTTTCAGAGTATTTCACACCAGGAGTTGGCAAACTATGGCCCATGGGTCTGTAAAGCTAGGGCTTACAGACCCCTCAAGTCTGTTGCACAGACTGGGTTACAAACCCTCCACATGCAGGTCTGTGAGCTACGTAATAGCGGGAAAAAATGGTTCTGGGAGCCGTGGGTATAGAAAAATGAATGGGTTTTATTCAGATCTAGGAGCAGCTGTCCTAGTGGCTTCTCTGAGAGTTCTGAGAAGGCTGTGGAGCAGGGCTGTTAGTCTTTTATACGTAAGTCCACAACCCTGGACACCTGGGTGCCCATACACAATTTACACATACACTCATACACAGCAAATGCTCGGCAGGACTCTGAACACCATAGGGGCCCTGACATTTTCCTATTTTTCCCAACAGGGTCAAACCCAGCCTGCCATCTCCTTTTGGAAATAGATAAAAATAAAATCATAAGTCCTTTTATTGGAGCACAGCCTCGCCCATTCACTGACATATCGTCTGCGGCGTCTTTCCTGCTGCAGAGCTACCGGCAGAGAACAGTAATGAGACAGAGACCACCTGGCCCACAAAACAAAATGGTTCCTCTCCAGCCCTTTACAGAAAACATTTGACCAACGCGACACAGGCTCTGCCTCCTCCTGGCTCACACTGTTCCCTCTGCCTACACTCCTTACCGGCCCTCATCCTGGAAATCTCCAGCTCATTTTCCACTTTCACATTAATCAAAAGAAGTAAATTGGGCTCAGCTCAGGTGTCACCTCTTCTGTGAAGGTTTCCTTGATCAGGGCCTTGGGAGCAGAAACACACCCGGGTTCAACTTCCCCCTCTGCATCTGGCTGACAGGTACTAGACACCCCACACCTAATAGTTTAATGAGTTTGGACAAGTTACTTAAGCACTGTAGCCTCAGTTTCTCCATCTGTAACATGGGGATATTAAAACCTGCCTCTAGGGCTGCGGAGGGCCATCTCAGGGCCAGGTGGCCAGGGAGGGCTCAGCAAGGGGGTGATTGTCATGTCCATGACCCCCTTCCTTGGCCATCACCCGCCTAATTGCACTGATCTGCACAGTTGCCTCTCTCCCCACCCTCACCCCCACCCCACTGTATCGTCCTCGAAGGCAGGATCCCATCTCTGCTATTTTGTCTTGTTCATGCTCTATCTCTACTGTAGGGAGTCATGATAAATGGTCAGGGTCCCTCTGGGATTCGGAGTCTTGCTAAGCATTTGATGTAAATATGCACGTGTGCTCTGGTGTTCCTCAGTTATTGTCTAATGTAATTGCGCATGTGCACCCAGGTGTTCCTGGGTCGTCTGACTCACACCCAGGTGTCCTGGGCTATCTGGCTTAAGTATAAAGGACGAGTGGCTCTGATCCATAGTGCCCCCTGCCCCCAGGATCCCCCCGGGGTCCACAGGGAGGCCACCACTACTGCTGCTGCTGAGGAAGCTGAGGACTGAGCTCATGTCAACTGTCAATGGCTCCCAGGATCTTTCTCAGTTACCTAGCTTGTGGACCTGCACGTGAGGGGTCTGGTGTCCCAGCCTGGCATGTGAGGGGTCTATGACCTAGTCTGTACAACAGGTTTGAAGGGTCTGTGGGCCCTAACCATACAATTGGCTATGTTGGCAGGATTCCGACAATAGCCCCTACAATACACTCCACCCACCCTGGTGCCCAGCCAACATCAGCTGAGGGAATGGTCCAGTTCCTGGGGAAGAGGACACTGCTGAGGACGCACCTGGTCACTGCGGGCGACCCCGTAGCGCAGCTCATTCACAAAGTGCTCGCAGTTCCGGCTGATCAGCGAATAGCACATCTTCTTCCCCACCAGCTCTTCCGCCCGCTGGACAATTTTATTCCCAGGCAGTGGTGGATACTTGTCATCGTGTTTGTTATTGACCCAGTACTTGTCTCTCCCGGCCACCACAGACAGTATGGCCTTGTCAGTCATGGCAGACCTGATGCTGGCTGCACCACCTCCCACGGTTTCACCTGCAGAAACAGTGAGTTGAGTCCTGGGCAGGGCCAGGGGGCTCAGCGCTGGCCCCAATCAGGGCAGCCTCGTTGCCCTTCGCAGCATCAGTAAGGACGAGCTATGGAAGGACCCGTCCACCTGGCCTGGTCCCAAACTCAAGAACTAGTTAGACCTAAGCCTGGGTGCCTTGGAGAAGTCACCAGGGATCCTTGGGCTCTGGTTTCCTCATATCTAAAGTAAAGGACCTGAGTTCTTAAGGACTACATGAGGCCGGATGTCCCTGAAAAAGTCAGCTGTTGAGGCCGAGTGGTGCAGGACAAGGACGGGGGGCAGAAGATACCCAGGGCCCAGTCCCGGCTTCCCCTCACTAGCTTGTGACCTAAAAACATCTCTCAACCTCCCAGAGCCAGTGTGTGGGAGCCCCAGCAGGATAGGGTGGCATTCTGAAACAGTCGGAAAGGAACCACAGAGAAGGACAGAAGCCTGACCCAGGAATGCAGGGCACAGGGTCCAGCATGGCTCACTCACTCTGTGTCCTCAGGCAAGTCCCTTCCCTTGGAACTCCAGTTTTATCATTTATAAATGGAAGGGATCGGGCCAGGTAATGTCCACATCCTCCAGCTCCAAATTCTCCAATTTACCTCTAAAGGGGACCCCAGCCTCCTGGCCTCACCCAGGCTTCCTGGGAAGCTGGAAAGAGACAGTCACAAAATGATGACACCTGGAGTCCTCAGGCAAGTGCTGATGGATGTTGGGGTTTATGATGGACCTGCTGGAAGCAGCCTGGCTCTAGAAAGCTCGTTGGTATAATGTCAGCCTCTGCACAGCCAATTCCTCTCTTCATCTCAACTTACTTGCTCTGTGTGTGTGTGTGTGTGTGTGTGTGTGTTTACGCTTTAGCTCACCAGTTTTTATTTTCTTTTCAAAGGGCATTTTTTTTTTTTTTTTTTTTTTTTGTCTTTTTGAGACCGGCCGCACCGCGCTCAGCCAGTGAGCACACTGGCCATCCTTATATAGGATCCGAACCCGCTGGCGGGCGCACTGCTGCACTCCCAGCGCCGCACTCTCCCGAGTGCGCCATGGGCTCGGCCCTTCAAAGGGCATTTTTAAAATGTCTCTGTCCCAGCTTACTCCAGCTGCAGGAGCAGAGATGGAGGCAGAGTGACTCTCTGGCGAGGAGAAAAACAAGATTTAGCACCCAGCCTTGCCTGGGCTACAGATCCCAAAAAGAAGGGGAGGCTGGAGGAAACAAGATTAATACAGGCATAAAAATGTGTCGCCAAGAATTTATTCTTTTTCATGAGAAAAATACCCTGTCTCCTCCATCTGTACCCCTCAGTACCCACCAACCCCAAAAGTCTCCTTCTCAGCTTGTAATTTTCCCTGTTCTATCCCTCAGTCTCCCGTCTCTAGGATGAATTTCTTCTTTTCACCCAGTAAAGGGCCCCTTTTTCTGTATTGCTGGTGAGGTACTTTGGACAACAGTTTGACAGTTTCTTATTAAGTTAAACATTCACTTAACTATGACCCCACAATCCCACTCCTAGGGATTTACCCAAGAGAAATGAAAATCTATGTATACACATACAAAAAAAGCCTGTATGGGAATATTTATAGTGGCTCTAATAATTAGTGTCAAAAATTGAAAATCATCCAAAATGCCCTTCAGCCGGAGAGTGGATAAACGAAGGGCAATACGTCCACGCAATGGATACTATCTAGCAACAAAAAGGAGCAACCACGTAAAAGATCCTCAAATGCATTATGGTGAGTTAAAGTCACTAGACACAAAAGGCTACATTCTGTACAGTTCTATTTATACGACATTCTGGAAAAGGCAAAACTCTAGGGACAGAATGAAGACCATAGGTTGCCAGGAGCTGGAGGTGTGGGAGGGTGTGTGGGGGTTGACAACAAAGGGGCCTGGGGGAATTTAGGTGGGGAGGTGTAGAGTCCCCCAGTTCCCCCACTTTCTTTCTTAGTCCTGTCTGAGAAACAGACTACCTTGACTGATCTGTGGTCTGGCCAGCTGCATGTTTCCCTTGCAGGCTTGAACCCAACCAAGGCCTGAACATTCCCAGCCACTGATAAAGGTTTTTAGGTTGTTGAATGAAACACTAAAAAATCAGACATGGTGCTAAACATGTAGAAACTGGCCCCCATCATGAACCAAATTCCTTAAACCCTCATATAAACTTCATAAACCAACCCCCTCGTTAGAGACATGCCTGAACTCATATCATCTTCTGTCTCGATCATCTTTTTTTTTTTTTTAAAGATGACCGGTAAGGGGATCTTAACCCTTGACTTAGTGTTGTCAGAATCACGCTCTCCCAAGTGAGCGAACCGGCCATCCCTATATAAGGATCCGAACCTGGGGCCTTGGTGTTGTCAGCACCACACTCTCCTGAGTGAGCCACAGGCCGGCCCTCATCTTCTATCTTGTTGCTTATCGAGAGGACACTCCAGCCTTCTGTAAATAAGTTCCCTGATAAATGCTTTGGGCTGGTCAGCCTGCCATTTAATGCTGCTTTGTTCAGAATCCCAACCAGCCCTGTCTTGGGTTGGTTTGGGGTGCTCCCTTGCACAAACTTTCCTACCACCACTTTTGGGGCAACTCCAGCCGTGGGTTTGGCTGGACAGAACACAAGGAAACTCCTCTATGTCTGTATCATGGTGATGGTTATATGATCATATCCATTTGTCAAAACTCATAGAATTGTACACTAAAAGGGTAAGTTTTACCATTTGTAAATTATTCTTCAATAAGTCTAATTTTTAAAAAACTAATTTTGAATAGATATATGAGTATATTGTTAAAGAGAAATCAAAATGGAGGCCACAGTTTGAATATACCCTTGAGATAGGAGGTGCTTGGTCTCCCTGGCTTTGGGTTCCAGGCCACTCCCCTAGGACTCAAGCCCCTCCTCTGAGTCTTGAGCTAGTGTTGCTTGTAGCACCTATTTTTGGTACCAGCACGTGGAGATTGAGACCACAGGAGGCAGACTTGTGTTATCCTGGTGGCCGGGCATGCTCAGTAAGAAGGAGTTTACTTGAGTGACTTCTCACTGGACGTACTGTAGAGCACTTTGAATATTCTAAGTGCATTCAATGCATGTGATGGAATTTGACCAATGAGCATGCTGTAAAGGAGACCAACTGAGCATGTGCAAACCTGTTACATAACCTAGTACATAACTGGGGACCAGTCCCTTAGTTGAATATTCATTATATAGCATGAATATGTATAGATAGCCAAGCTGTAAAGTTGAATCCAGGAAGAAGGCGGGGCTGCTCCTCAGTCTCTGGAGCCAGCCCGCACTTTTTCTATAAATTGTTTATTTCTTACTTTTGTATTAAACTTGCTGCAGCTGCTGCTCAGTCTCTGGAACTAGGTCACACTCTCCCTGTGAAGTCTGTATTTCTTATTCTTTACATTAAACTTGTTTTCACTTTCTACTGTGACTCGGCTCTTGAATTCTTCCCTGTGGCAGAATCAAAAACCTGGTAGAGGACAGGATGGGTTGAGGTCAGCTATCCGACCTCCCCAGGCCCTCTCCTCCAGTATCACCCCTAGACCAAACACCATAGCCATGTAACCAAACTTAAAATTCTGCTGATTTCCCAAAATGCTAGCTATAACCATAAACAAAACCTAAGCTATCCTCCTATCAACATGACCTCACAGCTTCCTAGCAAGCCAGCTACAAACAAGTACCACCTGCAGAATTGTTTGCTCTGACTAGATCCTGTGACTTGGCCAAAGATAAAACTATACACATCTATACTGATAGCAGGCATGCTTTCAGAGTATTCTGGGATTGGGGTATTCTATAGAAACAGGGGATTCTTAACATCAGATGGGATGCCTATAAAAAGTAAACCTTAAGTTGCTGATCACCTCTGCACTATCACTACTCTCACAAGTAGCTATTATAAAAACTGAAGCTCATACTTACAAAATAAACCCCAAATATCATGGAAATGCTATGGCTGATTTCCATGCAAAGGCTGCCACCCAAGAAACTGTCCCAACTAATAAGCCATGGAATTTGAATGAAGTCCATTCAAAGGACATAAAGGAAATTCAACATTTACAAATATGACATAGACATGTCTCCAAAACTGAAAAACAAAACCAATA